TGTAACATTTTTTGATAAAAATACTGAAAAATATAAAGAATTATTATTCTTCTTATGGATTAAAATATAATTTATTTAATTTGTTGCAAAAAAAAAAAAAAAAATTGAGGTCAAATTATACATGCGCCGAAGAGCCCCACACATAAAATAAAATAAAAAAATAAGCCTAAAACTCTACACCACCCACCCACGGTCCTTTCTCGCTCTCTCATTTTCTCAAATTTCAAATTTTAAAACACACTCATTCTATACTAGCGTATGCCCGTGCCTAAAGGCACGGTGTAAATAATATTAAGATTAAAATGCAGTTATAAAAATATATTTAACAGACTGTACTTTACAATTCCAAACAAATCAAATATAAAAAAAATTAAATATCAAATAATACATACCAGCTAGTGCTCTGCAATTTAAAAAAAAATTAAAATTAAAATGCACACCAATTAGTGCTACTGTTGCCAATCAAATTATAACTACATAAGAAAATTTTAACTGCTCATAATTTTTTAGCTTGCTAATTGACTGTCAACTGCTCATAATTTTTTGCTGATACATTTTCCTTTTTATTCCATTATGATGATACATTTTCCTTTTTATTTTCAACATGTGTACATGTAGAATAACCTTTAAAAGGAAAATCACTTTATAACTATTATTACATTCTTAGGAATCACCAAGTTGATGGTCCTCCAAAGTGATCATGAGGCCAAATATGATGTTTTCATACTCCTGTTTCACGTGTCATACTGATTCAACATTACAGTTTCATATATATATACAAACACACACACACACACGTCACTGTTGGAAACCTTATTCATATCCAAATGCATGTAATGTGAAGCACATAATGATTTAGTCGAAGATTCAAATGACTCTCTCTCTAAAAGATATGGATGCTAACATCCATCACAACTTCTTGCATAAAAAAATTTATGCAGTAGACAACAACAAAGTAAGATGGGAAGCAAAAATGCAACTCCTCAAAACAACTCCTCTTCATACATTCCTTTTAAATCCATAGTTTCATACATCTTTCTTAATATCATAACTGAAAAGAGACATGTAGTTAAAGTATAATGTCAAAAATTTCAAAAGAGAAAAAAGAAAGTTCATAGAGATACACATATAAAGCCCAAAAATCATGGCCTTATTAAATATCGTAAAGACCTTTGGTGAGATTTCTGAAAACAAATGCCAAATCTTCCAAACAGGAAAGACCAATTTGAAATTTTTTTAGATGAAAGACCAATTTAAAAGCAGAAAACACAAACAGGAAAGACCCACCTAATTTGGAGCCAAGAGTCTTTACCTTAATGTGAAGAGTCTGTGTGTTAGCAATCAAACATAAGAAATAGAGTGATCTTTACCCTGACCATACATTTCAAGCAGCCAAACTTTATTAATAAATCAATCAAACTCTGCTAATTTGCTGCATAAAACCTTCAACCTTGCTAGCAAAAGAACATTAATCAATTGAAGAGTCCAAGGAGCCTCACTGAAACATAAAATACAAAATGTCATATTAAAGCATTAAATTCGGATGAGATAAATTTGAACATACATATGAATATATATATATACATGTGGAAATTGGAAACGTCAAAAAAACAAAGCGCACATTAACTACAATCAGTAATAATACTGAAACAAAACACTCGAGTTGCCTCCACTCCTGTATACTTGATGTAGGCAACATGAAATCTTTTCCACCCCATTCAACATGCAAAACTATACTCTTCTTAAATCATATCTAACCAAGTTTTTTTCATTACACCTCACTGTATTATCTAAAGCATTTATGTTGGCCTCTTAGCAGCTTCATCTAAAATTAAGTTGACCACCTTGCAATTCCAATACTCAATAAAATGAACAACAATTCCAAACTTCTTCAATTAACACTTGGAATTAAATACAGCATTTGACCATAAATATCCATTCATATTAAAAAGGTTAATACGGTACAAAAATGTAATCACCATTGTCTCATATCATCCATAGCATAAATATCTCATCAAAGTTTGTAGTAGTCCAGTTCTAAGAGTAAAGCTAAATCCTAAATAAATGGAACTCATCACAACTTACCAATTACCAATATTGCTTAACTAAACAAATTAAAATCACAAATCTAACAGAGAAGCAGCAATAAATCCTCTACTCTTATGCATCTTCTAACAACACCACACAATGCATCATCAAGATCGTCACGAAACATAATGACCCCAAGTCAAGGATTTCAAAGCAAACTCAATTGATTCTAAAGCGACATGAACGCGTACATGAATTCAAATTCAAAACGCTCAGACACTTCTACATTTACTTATGTATCAAGAAATTGCTTACCCTTTACGAAAAACATCAATTGAGAACGACCCATATGCGAATAAGCAGAGAAAGATCGAAAAGACCACGACCCAACAAGCTATCTTCATTGTGATCGCTGCAGAAGGCGTTATCTTACAAATAGAGAGCAGAAAACAACGAAATCGAGAGGTTTTGAAGACATGGGGCGATAGAGGAAACTATGTCAAGAGCTTAGAAGTCATGGCTGATGGTGCAGGTTAAGAATCGTGGACCACTTGGATTGAAGAGAAAGAGAAGGGTGATCATTGGTTATTCCAGAAATACGCCGACAATCTTATGAAGTTATGACTAATACAGAATGTAAAATATTATAATTTCACATTAAGTGATTAAAAAATATAAAAAAATATGTGATTTTGTTTTACATTAAGATGGTGAATGATAATTGGTAAAAAAATATGACGCGTGTCACTCGAGAACTATTTAATACTTTTTTGAGACAGAGAGAGATCAAAAATGGAACGGGAGAGGAGGGAGGCACAAACAATTTCGTTTTGTTGTAGCGGGAAGATTAGGCAATTTTGGGACCCAACTACTAGAGCTAGGGGCATTATTGGCAAAGGCTGTAAGCAAGATGAGAAGTAACACAACATTGTCCAGTAACTACCTCAGTTCAAGGTCATCCATTATGTTTTCAGTCTAGATTCACAATGTGTCACTTTTTCTCTTATAAAAAATGTCTAAATTATCTCAGTCCTAGGGGCATTATTTTCCAATTTGCTAACAACAAGTTCTCACCATAATATTCTCCATACTTACAGCCTTTGCTGCGTTAGGCACAACCAAATTTGCTGCTGAAAACATCAAAAATAGAAACAAGTATCGAAAGTTTTATGCTTGCACCCAAACATCAAAGCAATGGGTATAATTTTATATGAAGGAAAAGAAGAGGACAAATATATTTGAAAAATTCCAAATAAATAAAGAACCCAAATGATCAAAAGCTAACCAACAGAGACTTTTTTGTTGACTCCAATAAGAAGCTAAGAAAAATTCTGCATGTTGTTTAATTATACAGAGTTTAGGTATTAGCCTCTGATTCACACATAATTACATTAAACATTTTAAAAACAGCATTAGCAAAACCAAACATATACGAGTTTCAACAAAAACAATTCGAATTGTGCTGCTGAATCGAAAATTGAGTGAATTGAACAATTCAATTTATGATTCACTACGATTCATTGAGATTCACAAAATTCACTGCAATTCTATTCTTTTTCTATTTTTGTTTATATAACGCATGAAACATCGACGTTTTCACCAAACTATAGAAATTTATAGAACGTAATTACTTAAATTGATATATCTGATTTTATGTGTGTATACGTTTATAATTTAGTCATATTAATAATCTAGTTTTTATTAAACACTGTATACGTTTCGATTTTAAGCACTGTATTATATATTATATTAAATAATATAAATCTTATGATTTACAGTTTAAAATGATTTATGATTCACTTTTTAACGATTCGATTCACGTTTCGACAACAATATAGTTACCACAAATTTGCATTACAATTTAGGCAAATGGTTAACAAATAAATAAATAAAACTAGAGAAATGTGACATTATGAGATTACAGAGCACCAAAAGTAGGAAAAGAAAGGGCAATTACCTGCGACGTCATTTACAATTTTGGCGCAGGGCTTGTAACAGGGCTTATACTTCACTGCATTGTCAATTCTACCAGGGAAGAGCCTAGCAATCATTGCCCATTTGTTTCCATAAGTCTATGAGCAGCATTAGGCTCAATAGACTAACCCTAGAATTGCATACGAAGCACAAACGCAAAGATCACCATGAACGAGTCAGAAATAGAGTCTGTTTGAGGATGTTAATATGCGCACAGGGACTAAAGCTTACAGATCTGAACGAAAGCAATCAATCGATCAAATCCAAAGAAAGAGCGTTCGATCGTGATCAATAGACTAAAAATCAACCAACCGATCGATCTGTGTTCTCTTCAACATAAATTAGTATATATATCAAACAGATCTGAGATCGTAGATACAGATCTGAGTTCGTATATAAACAAAATCAAAAAATCAGAGAATGAGACTCACAAAATTAATCTTCAAATCGGACTGATTAAGAGCTTTGAGCCAAGATGAAGAGAGTCGGATAGAGATTACGATCGTAAATCGGAGCCTACGACGCTCGATCTAGTGAACTTTCACCATAAGAAAGAGGAGTGATGAAGCCCTAGATCTATGTGGGACTGAGAGAAATGGAAAAATGAAAAACGCGTGGCCTTAAAAGGGAAAATATGCAAGTACACCAAGTTACACGTGTGTTTTTTAAAATGAGTTGGTTAAAAACTATTTTGAAAACCTTTGCAACAACGTTTTTAGAAAAAACGCCATATCAAAAACGTTGTTATAAGTCAATTTTCTTGTAGTTGAAGGCCTTCAAATAATAGTTGTTCATCATTTGTAATTGTTTATAAAAAAGAATCGTAATGTAACATTTATTTTGATTTTTAAAATTTCAAATCATCTTAATTTTGACAATATATATTTATTTATTTTTTATAAAATTTATATTTCTAGAATCAACACAATGAAATCTATCAAATAAGATTACTGTTAAATATAAAATTATATAAAAATAAAAATATATTTTCTTATTTTAAATTTACATTTTAAACCATTTTTAATAGTAAGTTTTCTTAACTTAACTAATAATATTTTTTTGGTCTAATTTCTTTTTCAAGCTTAAAACTGAGGATATTCTTAGTTTAAAATTACAAAAACTGGTTCAGTTTTAAAAATGAAAAAACATTCAAACTATTCTCAGTTAATATGGGAAAAAAACTAAAAAATTTCTCAGTTTTACTAAATAGTTTCGCAAATTGAGAAATGATTAGTTTTGTGTAGGTAAAAGAATAATATTTTATTTTTTAAAAAAATTTATATCCAATATTGGTTTTATTTGATAGATCTCATTGTGTAGACTCTAAAAATATAAATTTTAGTAAAAATAAATGTGTATAATAAAAGTTATGAAATTTTTAAGTTTTGCAGCAATAAAACAAAAGTAAAATGTCGCATAGCAATATCATTTGAATAAGAGAAATTATCTAATGCTTTTGAGGTATAGTTACATGATTATCAAAAGATTTGTAATTGGTAGAGAAGGTGAAACTCACAATTTTATATTGGGGCATGAGACATAATCCTTGATAATTGGTGAATAATATTGTCATATGGTGACACTTAATAATAATATTTTTTTATTAGCACTCAATTCCATCCGTCTTTTAATAAGGGTAAAACTGTCCTTTACACATAAATATTTTGAAAATAGGATTTTATGGGTTAAAAAAACAGAGATTTATTAGGAAATCTCTTTTCAAGTAATTGTATCTCAATTAGTCCATAACATATTATTATATTATAATAAATCATATTATTTGGACATTTGATCTACCAAATTTTAAGGAAAAATTACTTATAAATCTCATTTTAGTAAATGCTACTCTAGTTAGTCCTAAGGGCGTGTTTGATTCGCCGGATTAGGGGGGAGGGGACTATCCACTATTTGGATTGTAATCCAAATAGTGCTCCTTATCCGCCTTTTGATTTTTTTTTAGTCCGTCGGACATGGAGTCCGGCCAGACTCCTTATCCCCCATATGGGGGACTATTGTGTCCTAAGGGGGGTGGGATAGAATGTGGGGGACTATTCACTGTTGGGATTAGATGCGAAAATGATCATTTTGACCCTCTACTATTTAATTATGTATTATATTTAATAAAATTCAATAAAATTTAAATGTCTCAATTTAAAAATAAAATAATTTTATTTAACTTTTTATTAATGTTTTATTTATTTAATTTTTTAAAATAATTTTTTATAGATATTTTATTGATGTTTTATTTTAAAATTTTGTTTATGTTTTATTTAATTTCATTGTTTAAATTTAATAGATGTTTTAATAGATGTTTTATTTAAACAATTAAATGTTTAATTTCAACAATAAATAATTTCATTTATTTAAATTATGTTTTATTTAAACATTTAAACATTTGTACATCAACATGTTTATTAAATTATTTCAACATCTGTACATCAACATGTATACTTATTTAACATCTATTAAATTATGTTTTAATACATCAACATTTGATTACATCTACATTTGTTAATTGTTAATTACATCAACATTTATTAATTGTTTAAACATAATCTGTACATCAAAATAATTTCAATGTTAATTGTTAAAAATAAATTTATTTAATTGTGTAAAAAATAAAATAAAATAAATTTTTATTTAATCTAGCTAAAAATAATTAAAATATTAAAGATATGTTTAATATTGCTATTACTTAGTAAACAATTGAAAAAGGGTAAAATAGTCTTTTGTTCATTTATCCTATCCAGTCCGTCCAACCAAACGTTGGATTCACTAAAAATAGTCATTTCCAGACATCTAATCCCATGAAAAAACAAACACAGGATACATATCCAATCTAACCAAATAGTCCGGGGGATTCACAGTCCTAGGACTCAAGTCCGATGGATTATAATCTCCCCTTATCCAGTTCGTCCAATCAAACACACCCTAAGTGTTTTTTTTTTTAAACTATTTAGTCTTTTTTTTTTTTATTTTTGGTGTGATATATGTTTTTGATATATGATGTTTGATGATGTTGTTGGTGTACAACAGATGGCTGCGCTGCTCTGTCTTCGACTGCATCTCCCTTTGCTCTAATCCCACCATCTCGGCCGCCAACTGCTCCGCCGCCAACCACCGCCTTATCATCCCCAACGAGTCCTGCAAGTTCCATTCGGTAAATCTCGGCTACTTCACTTGCGTAGGCCGAATCTGCACAGTCCTCATCGTCGCCACCGTCGCAATGATGATGTAGACTGAACACATTCATGGCAGAGAGCAGAGTCGGAAAACACTTCAAGCTCGCCGACCGCAAAACCACCTTCACAACGGATGCCTCCATCCTCTCCGACTCTGGCAGTACCTGCTCCATCTCCGACTGCAATGATGATGTAGACTGAACACATTCATGTTGATGATGTTTTATGATGTTGGTGATGTTGATGATGTTTGATGTTGTAGTTCATGTTTGATGATGTTTGATGTTGTAGTTCATGTTTGATGATGTTGATGATGTTGCTGATGTTTGATGAGGTTAAAGATGTAGTTGATGTTTGATGATGTTCACAATGTTGATGATGTATGATGATGTTTGATGATGTAGTTGATGTTTGATGATGTTGATGATGTTTTATGATGTTGGTGATGATGTTTTATGATGTTCACAATGTTGGTAATGTACGATGATGTTTGATGATGTATGATGATGTTTGATAATGTAGTTGATGTTTGATGATGTTGATGATGTTTTATGATGTTGGTGATGTTGATGATGCTTGATGATATAGTTGATGTTTGATGATGTTGATGATGTTGGTGGTGTAGTAAATGTTGTTGATGTTCGGAAAGGAGGGAAATCTAAAAAAGGCTTATAGTGAGTTTTTAACATTCAAATATGACTTATTAGTCTACAAAATAAAAGGTAGGACCAAATGGTTTAACAAATTAAAATTTGGGATTTATTGGCGTTTTGCCCAAATTTTAAGTCTTATATTTAAGGTATTTTATAAACAATTTTATCTTACAGATATTTTTTGAACAGTTAGCAATTTGGTGAGAAAAATACTCATATTTTACAATGTGAATATTCACATTGATGATGTGAACATTTACACTGTCAATGTGAATATTATTATTATGGATATTTTGATAACTATGTCACTCATGACTTATTGGAACATAAGGCCTAAGTAAAAAATAAGTAGGTGAAAAAAGATTTATAAATAAATTTTCTTTAAATAAAATAGAAACGATGGCTTGATAGAATATCAGGGTTACCAATATGACTTTTAAGAATTTTTTTCGGGAGTAGCTTACCTCTAGTCTGAGATCGGACTGGACGGTGTTGTTCAGTCCATGGGGTCCCTCCACGGGTTTCGTTTTGATAATCCGAACCTTTCAATGTAGAACTCGTCAAATACTATATGCCTATAAAAAACCACGTTGATTGGATATTGATAGTTATCTCATTGAATCGGTTTTTTGTCAACCATTAATTTGTTCACCATCCATTTTTTTTTTTATATACAAAACTGATTTAATCACATAGTATCGATATCCGATCAATGTTATTTTTTTTTCAAATATATGGTACTCGATGAGTTCTACACATTCAATAATCAGATTATCAAAACGGGACTGATGATGGGCCCCCACGAGTTAAACAACACTGTCTAATCTGATTTCAAACTGGAGGCAAGCTGCATATCTTTTTTTTTTTTGATCAATGAAAAAAAGCTGCCGATTGTATTAATGATCAATGGAACGGTACATCAATGAAGTTATCAATACAATCAAAACAACGGAGGGGAAAAACAAGCATCATCACCACATTGGAGAGATTCCAATGCATATAGCAGAAACAAAACAGAAGCAATAAAAAATTAAACAGAGAAATGCACTTTTAGGTAATTAATTTTAAAATTAATGGCATTTTTTTGCTTATTACGGGAGAACTAATTTTTAAATATTATGATTAATATGTGCCTTTTTACCTTAAATTTTTAATTCCATCACCATCAATTGTTTTTGTACGCAATCACTCATAAGGAAATAGCCCCATAGTACGCAGAAACAACCAAACAAATCCATAATAGAAAGGATAAATTATGTTGGTAGTTTTTGTATTATTTTTGTCTTTATAATTTTAATTGGTTTGATTTTGACTTTAAATTTATAATTTTGTCTCAATTTGGTTGAATTGATTACAACTCTTAACATTTTTTTTTTATTTATAAAAACTATACACATAAGTGATATATGTAATATTTTTAAGGGAAAGCACCAATAAATCCTAAATTTGGGAATGTTAACCCATTTAGTCCCGAAGGTTTTTTGTTAGACTAATAGGTCTTATTTTTTAACAAGCTTACTATAGGCCTTTTTATGATTTCCCTTCTTTTCAAACATCAAACATTATTCATCAGCCATCAAACATTAGCAACGTCAGGATTATTCGTATAATGTCGGTGAAAATATTAGCAACGTTAGAATTATTCATCCAACATCAAACATTAGCATTCATCAAACATCAACCATTAAACATATTCTCAACCATTAAACATTAAGATTATTCATCAAACATCAAACATTATTCATCAAACATCAACATCAACATCAGATTTATTTTTAACAAAATTGAAACTATTTCCCGAGATCCATCATCAA